AATCGCTCTTTGTTCCCAAAAATTAGGTTTTAAAACCGAATTGGGGGCCAGTTTTTGTTTTTGGGAAAATCTGTCCCAAAAATTTTAAAACCATTTAAAACACCCGGGGGGAATGAAAAATAAATTTTCCCCAAAAAACTTAAAATATTGAAACCCGCCCAATTTTTTCGGGCATCAAACCCGGGGTTTTTTTCTTTAAAAAGGATAATAATAACCTTTAAACCCAAATTTAGGAAATTGCCCGATCAAATTTTAAATTTAAAAACGTAGTTAAAAACTGTAATTTTAGATAAAGGTTTTAAACCCAAAAAATTATTTTTAATTTGGAATTTTTTCCAGTATTATTTTTTAATTTTAATTTTTTAACCCCTTCATCTGATAATAGGGAAAACGAGTCCCCATATGTCTGTTTTCCCCATTTCACAACACTTAAAAAACCCCAAATCAATCCGGGTTAAATTTTGGCCCGGGGCTAAGGGTTTTTTTGTTTCCACACAAAATTGTTCTTTTAAAAAAACCTTGCAAAGAAATATTTTATTAGTTTAAACATTCCCAAAATTAACGGGGGGGTTTTTCCCCCCCCATTTTTGTTTAATTTAAAACACCCTACCTTGGAAAATTTTTCTTTGGGACCATTTTCACATTTTTATATTTTGCGTTTCGATGGGAGTCTATTAAAAATTTCCATTTTCTATGTTCAAAATATTTTTCCAATCCCAAACATGCTTTTTAAAATTTTTCGGGAAACCCTTTTTCCTGGAAAATTTTCCCTTTTACAAGAATTGTTTTAATTAACATTTTTCCTTTAAATATTTATCCGGCCCTTTCGGGAAAATTTTCTTTGCTAAAAGTTTTACTTTTTCATTTAGCGATATTACGGGCATCTTTGCAAAATTTTTTTAAAATTCCAAAATTTCCCCCTGGGAAAATATCGTTTCGAAAAATAAAAATTGTTAACATTTCCCCCTATAAATTTTTTTCTTCGGTGAGTTTTTTCCCTTTTTTGGGCAATACCCAATTTTAATCAAATGACAAAGGGGTGTGGTTTGGGAAAATTCTGTGTAATTCCCTGAACATAAAATTCTTTAAGGGAAATTTAAAAATTTTCCCCTTTTTTAAACAATTTAATCAAAACTTTTTCCATTTTCCAAAACATAAAAAACCCCCTTTTCCCCCATAAATATCGCCCCTTTAAAAATAACAATTCACTTGGGTTTTCAAAGTTTAACCCAATTTAAAACACCCCAAAACGATTTTTTATTTAAACATGGAAAGTTTTTTTGGGGGTACTTCCTCGTTTAAGGGGGATTTTCTGTTTTAAAACCCTTAAACCCACCCTTTTAAAAAACAAAAACCCCCCACTAATTTGCCCAATAGAAACGGCCCCCCGACTGGGTTTAAAATTTAATATCCCTTTTTCTTTAAAAAACTAAATATTCACTTCATAAAAAAAGTACTAATTTCCGGGCCAAAAAAATTTTGGCAACAAATAACATTCCCGTAAACTTTTTAAAAAAAATTTTTTCAAAGTTTTAAAACCCTATAACCCCCAAAAACTTTTTCCCCAAAAAGACACCTTTCCTTTTTAAAAAACTTTTTAAATACACAAAAATCCCCCCGCTTTCCCTTTTTTTTTTCCAAAGCCAAAAATTTTGGGAAAAAATCTTAAAGAAATTTCTATATCCTTTTAAGTTATTTTTGATATTAAAAATCCAGGTTTTAAAATATTTAAATCGTTTTGGGGGAGAATATTTTTAAAATCTCGTTTTAACGCTTGTTTTGGGAAAAACCCCCGGGCATTTCCCCTTAAAAATGTATTTTCCTCTCGGGGCTTTTCCATCCTTTTGGCAAATTTCCAAATTTCCAAACAATGAATATTTAAACATAAACCCCGGGGAGTTCAAAACCTTTTTTTTTCATTTTTTTGCTTTCCTTTTGATCCCGGGCCGAGTCTTTCCGTTTTTCGCCAATAAATCTTTGGGGGGAAAACACCCCAAAAAAGAATTGACTTTGTGAGAATTTTTTCAAAATTTTTTTCAAAAGGGTTTTACGTTCCTTTAAAAAAAACTTAACGTAAAACAATAGGGGGTATCTTGCCCCCTTTTTATTTTTCCCTTCTTTTTGTTTTGGGGGAAAAATGATATTTTTTGCTTTTTTTTTTTTCATTTCTTCTTCATTTTTGTCAAAATTTTTTTCTTTTCACGTTCATTTTTTCGGGTTCCTTTATCAAATTAAACCCCAAAAAAAAAAGAAGATTATTTTTAGGGAAATTTATCTCATTAACGAACCTCCCCATTCAAAACCGAAATTTTTTTGGGGCCTTTTTTTTAAGGAAAAGATCCTTTTCCTGCTTTTTTTTGGGTTTTAAACTACGGGATTGGGGTTTTAAAAAGCGGGTACCTCGAGAAAAACTGGGGTCCGTTTTTCCATGGGTCGACCTTTGACCTTTTACATACATGATACCCTTTAAACCTTTAAAAGGGAGTCTGAATTTTTTTAAGTTTTTCCTAGTTTTCATAAACCATATTAACCAAACTTTCAAAAATCAATGTAAATGGACGATGCTATTGGGGGAATTTGAAAATTTAAAGGGGTCGGATTATATTTTTGGGGGATTAAAACCTTTCTACGGTTTTTAAATACCCAAACCATGAAACCCTTTTCTCAATTTTTTAAATGTTTGTTGGGGATTGGGTTTTCCGGGATTTTGGGGATGAAAATTTTCCCCCAAAATTATCCCCTAAAAGTTTTTCCCTGCATAAAAAAATGTCTGAAATTGCCGCGCCAAAACCCTTTCAAACATCCCCTTTTCCCCGACCCGTCTCGAAAAAAGGGTTTAATATCTTAACTTTCCGGGGTGAATTTTCCCGGTTTACTGCGGGAAATTTTAATTTTTACGTTTTTTTCCCCACTTGGGGTCCCTTTCCCACCTTTTCCCCCCATTTACTTAACCACCCCGAATTTTTTAAAAAAACACGGCCCCTGTTAATACATTTTCAAATTTTAATTCCCCTGTTTTCCCTTTTTTTTAAATAAAAGACTATACCATCAAAACACAATTTTTTTGTTTTAAGTTTTCTTTTTGTTTCTCTGCTTAAAGTTAAAATTCAATTTTTTTTTTAAAATAATCCAAATTTTCCGGGGAAAAATAATCAAAAATTTTGTCTTTTTGAAAAGGGGTTTCATAATTTTCTTTCTCAGAAGCTCAAAGGGTTTTCTTTTTAGTCTTACACGATATTTTTTGAAAAAACAATTTTTTTTTTTCCCCTTAAATTTTTAACTCCATTAAATTCACGCATCGCACACTTATCAAAAAAAATTAAAAAATGGGGTTTTTAAATTTAAAAAGTTTGTTTAATTCACAGGCATAAAACCCCAATTTAAATTACTAAGGGCCAAACATTTAAATTTAAAAATTTGGTGGGAGCCACAGGCCCAAACCCCAAAAACTTTTAATTTTTTGGCCCCCATATAAATTAAAAAATTATATTAAAAACTGGGGAATTTTTTTTTTTAATTTTTAAAAAAAAACCTGGCTTTTTTAAAAGGGGGAAAAAATTTTTAAACGCGATAAATCAGAAAAAAGGAAAATTAAAATTCCCCAAATTTTTTAAATTTCATTTTAAAAGCATAAAAACAAGGCTATCTTTGGGAAAAGCTTTTTGCTTCTAGCTGATATTTTACTGCTGTTAATCATGGTTTTGGCCCAAGAATGTGCAAAGGTCCCTTTAATTTTTCTAAATATCAAAGGAAAAAGCTATGCCCCGACTTAGATTTTGAAAAGTAGCATTTTCATAGAAATGGTTTACAAAAATGATAAATTTTTTTTTTGCCCCTTTGGGGCAAACCGGGGCAAGGGAAAACCAAAACGGGGGGTCATTAAATTTGAGTCATTAATTTACAGAAATATCATTTACCTTATGCATAAAAAATTAAATTCTTTTTAATTTAAAAAAGTTAACCCTTATTGCACTAAGGGGGAGATATTTATATATAAAAAAATCTTATTTTAAACATTATGCCAAAGCAAGAATTTACAAAAAGCATTTCCTTGAAAACCCCTGCAAAACGATATAAATCATCCCCGGGGGAATAATTTTCCCTGGGGTTTCTTGATTTATTAATTTAAAAAATTGGGATAAAAAAAACACATTTAAGCCATAACGTGTGAAAACCCCCAAAAACCCCAAACTTTTGATTTCCTCAATTTAGATTTTTTCAAAATCATATTTAACTATGAACTTCTTGCTGTGGGAGTCACTTACTTTATGTAGACTAAGGTATAGGAAAACACATCTTTTGTGGATAAAAATACTATGCCTCTACATTTGGTATATAGCATTGCCTACTAGATCTTTATAAAAGTTGTATGAATCATGCACCTATGGGAAAAAAAATGCCTCCACCTTGGAGGTCATATAGTATCATAAAGATAATTAAAATAAAATATTTTTCAGACAAGTTTCTTCATTTGATTTCTTCCCTAATTGAAAGATTAGTTTTGTTTACTCCAACAAATTTACATTTGAGAGTATATTACCCAGCCTATGCGGTAGTCTTTTTTACTTTTGCCACATGGCACATCATACACCTGTAAAGTGTGTGTATAAAAAACATAAAGTTCCCTTGTGAGTAATGAAAGTTTAACAGTAAATGTGTGAAACACACCTTTTTGGAGTTCAAATATCTCAAATGCAAAAATTATGTAATCCTTGTAACTTGTATTTTGAAATATTTGTCACTTGCTCCCAGTAATAAAAAGGTAAGCAAAGAGATATATACATGTTGGTCTGTATAACTGTAAGTGATCCATGCTGCTGTTTGCGTATAGTATATATATAGGTATTTAGCACTTTTGTAATCAACATGTTTGCGTAAAATCATATTAAAATGATGATAGTTATAACTTCTCTATATAAAAAAAAACTAAAGAAGTTATGACAGCTGAAAACTGAACCTTTGATTCCATGTTATAAACTGTAAATCTTTTATAATTTCAGAAGAAGAAGCTAGCTGTTCCACAACAATTTAGATGAGTTTTGTAGATGTATTTGTTGGTAACTACATTGTCATAGACTTTGAGCTGTACCATCTATGGCTCACTGGCCGTTCATGTAAGATACTTTCTTATTATGTGAAAAGAATTTTCATACATGAATTATGTATATTGTGTTATATTGAAGGTACAGTCAATTTATTTAAAGGCACATTAAGTGACAGAAGTTCTAAGTATTTCTTCTGTAGAAAGGGAAAATATGCGTTTTATAATCATTAATGTAATAATGGATTAAGATCATGAGAGGTGATTATCAATTGAAGAAAATAGCAATGAATGAGAAGTTTTTTATGATAATAGTAGCAAAATGTAAACAAAAGTTGCAAAATGTAAACAAAGTAGTATTTTGACAATTGTACCAATACTGATTGCTGAATGCAAAAGAGGCAATAGCTGCTCAATGTTACATGTTTATTGTATATGACGCTCAGAATGGCTTAAATGGCTTGTATTAAAGTAACCTTTTTTGAAACTGTAACCTGTAGGACTCTCTCTCCCCAAGCCCACTTAAAAGCTATTTTTTAAAAATTAATATATTAGCATTTTTGAGACTTAATGGGCCTTAAAGAGTTTTACTCTAGGGATGAAATTAAATGTTACAAATGTACAGAGAACTTTTGGCTCCCCAAAGGATTAAACCACAACAACTTGATTACAAATCTGATACTTTCCTTTTTGAGCTAAGCATGCAAACATACATATGTAAAATTAACAGTTTTGTTTAGTCTATATATAAACTTTTTTGTTAGAATGATTTGTTTAGTAACTGTCTAAAGGCATATACTTATGAGATGACATATACATGTAATTTTACTACGAATAGCACTTGTAACAGAATACCGTATATATTTGTGGATTTTGCTCTACAAAGAGTATGAAATGAATGTTGATATAATTTTATAATTTATGTAATGCTATTTTATTATATATTTCAAACATAAGCTTTTATCTTTTAAACTGAATGTCGTCATTTCCAAAAAAAGAAAATACATGTAGGTCTATTTATGACTTTCAGTCTGTTAAGATTCACCACATGTTGATTTTGTATCTATCTTTTATAGATACATAATTACATATCATATAAAAATATCATTTATGAGCTGTCTGGTGGATACCTATATATAATGACCTTTTCAGAGAAATATTTTCTGTTTATTTTATTACTTTATATTGCCTTAATTTAATATTGCTGTAAAAATTCTGTCTTGAAACTAGTCATGTCTGGAAACTAGTTTTTATCCATAAACCACACCTAATATTCCTGTAATTATAAATTATAATACTCTTTAAACTTAAATGAGTTTTTTCACTGACAGATAAGATAGTAATTATTTTCAAACCACCCTGATGTTTGGCTTGTGTTGTCCCACTTCCCCCTGTTTTACTTTCTGTTTTAGATTAAATAAAAGTTTTAAATGAAATTTAATTTATTAAAAGGATTATTTGTCACATTATGAGGAAATATAGTGATATTTTATTTCATTCATAAGTCATACTCATATACTGTATGACGCATAATGTTCCATTGACCTAAATATCTTAAATTTCAAAAAAAAAAGAGTAAAAGAATAGCAAAAAAAAAAGGTTATGAATGTAGTTAAACTCCAGTATCATATGATGGTATATTTTAAACATGTCACATTTCTTTACAGGTGAATCTTTTAGACCAGAAATTAGAGTTATATCTAATGTAATTTCATGTATATTTCATCTCCTCACACCATGTCAGTTAATGTATTTCAATTGCCTTTGTCAATTACAAACAATTTTCAAATGTCTTTTCTTCTCCTGTTTTCAAGTTTATTACTTAAAACAGTTTTTCCCGAGTTAAAAGACAATTTTAAAATTTGGGAAATTTTTGAGAGAAATTTGAAAGTTCAATAAAAGAACCCGTTTAATTTTTTAAGATAATTTTATTATATTTTTATATTTGAATTTTTTAACCCGTATTTAAAGGGCAGTTCATAGGTAAGTTTTATTTTTGTATTTTATAATTTTAAAATTGATTTCGTTTAAAAAGCAAAAACCTGGGGTAATACCTTTGGGTTAAAAAATTTTTGGACATTTAAGACAATCCTTTTCCCCCCAAATTTTTTGAAAAAGTTTTTTTATAACAAAATATTCTATATAAAGTTTCCCCTTATTGTGATTCCTGTTGTAAGATTAAAAAGCACTAGGGTCATAAATATCAAATGTAAGACAATTATGGTAGACATTACATTGTGTTGTTTCTGAACAGATATCAAAATATTTTAAGCCATCATGTCTTTATCATGAAATAAACGTAGGCAATATTCCAATCTTCCATCTTGGGGGACATTTTGCTGTGTGATATCCTGATACAGTAGAGTAAGTGTGTGTCAAAGGTCAAAGACATAGTGATGCCCTGATACAGTATAGTAAGTGTTTCAAAAGTCAAAGACATAGGGTCTTCGTGATACAGTAAAGTAAGTGTGTCAAAGGTCAAAGACATAGGGTCTTCCTGATACAGTAAAGTTAGTGTGTCAAAGGTCAAAGACATAGGGTCTTCCTGATACAGTAAAGTAAGTGTGTCAAAGGTCAAAGACATAGGGACTTCCTGATACAGTTAAGTTAGTGTGTCAAAGGTCAAAGACATAGGGACTTCCTGATACAGTAAAGTAAGTGTTTCAAAAGTCAAAGACATAGGGTCTTCTTGATACAGTAAAGTTAGTGGGTCAAAGGTCAGAGACCTAGTGGCATCCTGATACAGTAGAGTAAGTCAGTGTGTCAAATGTCAAAAGGAGGTAGAAAAATGATTAATTTAAATTTTGTGAGAAAACTGAATTATACATGCTGTATTATAAATTTGTTATAAATATTCCTGACAGGTTATATGGTCCTGTTTAAACAGTTTATTGCAATATACAAATTGAGTTGTATTTGCAAGCAACTGTTTATATAGCGCCTAATAACTTGTCAAAAATCTTCATAACTAAAATTTTATATAGCTAAGGCTTCTGCAAATATATGACCTATAGGTTTTTAAAGATTTGACAGGTTATAATGCTCAGTAAAAACACTTTTAGGCTTATATCACTAGAGCCACTTCAGGGGCTTAGGCAGGCTGAGTTCTCCATTCCTCAAGTAAAAATGACTGGAGAGTCTAAACTACACAGATGTTTTGTGACATGTTGGGATTGGAAATGATTGTTCAAGATTAATTTTTCATTTGATGTAGGTCTAGACTGATAAGTTGTGTGCAAAATTTCAGAACTTTCACTCACTCAGTTTAAACTAATTGTGAAAAATCACCCAAAATTGAAAAGCATTGTTAAGCTTTTCACTCAAATCAGGCTAAGAATAGCACAAAAATACAATTTACATTTTATTTCCAAGTATACTTTTTTAATTTTCATTTAGCATATCTTTCTGTAGTGCCACAGCTGATCTTTATCAGTACCGTATAAGTGGTTTTTTCTGCGTTGACTTTATTTCTGCGTTTTCTGCGGTCAGTTTCAGCACCGCAGAAATAAAAACCGCAGAATATTTCTCCACGTTTGTTTTTTTAAAAGAAATGAGTCCTACATTATGACCTGTTTCCTTAAAAGGAATAAAGACTAACGGTTTATAACGGTTAGCAGGTCATCAAGTTATATAAAATTGATTTTGGCTAAATATGCAATATGTGCATGACTGTAAGGATGTAATTGTTGTTAATTATGCCAATTTATGAACAAAGAAATTCAAACATCATAGTGTTTGCCTGTACGCTAAAGGGTTTGTTTACCACTAATTCATTAAAACCATTTAAACCCTTATACTGCTAAATAATCGTCGTATACATTAATTGTTGTTTGATTTACGATAAACTTCTATCAATTTTATTAAATTAAAGATACTACCGTGGTATATTTTTCACACATCATTTCACACTGATTTAAAGATGCAAACTGTCTATTGATGCACATTATATTTGCAAGCAAACAATATAATTGTTTGTAATTACTATATAGTTTTGCGGTGATGACGGTAAACAAAATTTTAATGCGAATGTGTACATGCAAATAAAATAGGTAAAGCAATGTGACTTAGACTTTGAAAAGATGAGCCACAGACTTTAAATCACATTTTGTCCAAAGAATGTGCCGCAGAAATTAAGTCCGCAGAAATAAAAACATGCCAAAATTTTGAAAAACCGCAGAATTTGGAGCCCGCAGAAAAAAACACTTATACGGTAATTCAAATTCTATGTTTTGAGGCTTTTGGGACTCAGTGGAGTTCCTTTAATACAGGTTATACTGTATGGTAATTTTTTGTACAATTGAACAGGGGACTCATACATGTGAGAAATTTATATAACTACATGTATGTAATTTCAAGCGAACATTAACCTTTTGCTTAAAAGAGACATATTTAAACATTTAACCAAGATAAAGGTGCAATTATTACCTTGGAAATTATAGAATAATTTGTTCACTGAAGGATTGTTAGAAAAAAAAGTAGGACATTGATTTTATTTGAAATGTAATGATAGTTACCTATATTTAATAGGTAATGACTAGTTCATATGTATCCTGTGTGGTCTGAGAAATAAGTTATGTAATGAATTCTTTAAAAATAGCCATATTCTTCCTGTATGCTTGAGAAAAAGACATGTAACACATACTTTGTTTATTTCGCATGTTCTGTTCAGTTATTCAGCACTGTTCTGTTCAGTTTCTAGCAGTATTCAGTTCAATTTTATGCAGTATTCAAGTCCAGTTTCAGCAGTATTCAATTCAATTTTCTGCAGTATTCAGATCAGTTTTCAACAGTATTCAGTTCAGTTTTCAGCAGTATTCAGTTCAGTTTTCAGCAGTATTCAGTTCAGTTTTCAGCAGTATTCAGTTCAGTTTTCAGTTCAGTTTTCAGCAGTATTCAGTTCAATTTATAACAGTGTAAGAAATTAGGATTTGAATCGACTAGGCTGGTAGGACAAACAGATTGGAATATTCACTAGCCCAAAAGACATTTCACTAGGATGATTCATTTGTTCAAAACAGTTGTTTATATTGCCTCTGAAAATACAGTAGCCTGTTCGGGCTTGTTTAACTGTGAAAAGTTGGTTGCCCGAGGAGAAATTTAGTAGTCAGGGGCTATCAGACTACTGCTAATTTCGAACACTGTTATAATAAACATAAATGTAGTTATATACTTAATATGTTGTAGGAATATACATGTATGTTAAAGTTAAACTTACCAATTTTCCTAACTGCCACTTAATTTTCATATATCAAAATGTGTCAGTGATTTTTAGAGTAACATGTATCACAGTATGTGATGTTATAATGTAATGTCCTCCACCTTATTGTCATGGAAAGTTTTTGGCCAGACTTTAGTATACTCATACTTTGAACTATCCCTTCTGATTTCACCTGATTGACTGTATTATATTGGTAGACTGTTTATTCATGATATTAAAAATCAATATGATTTTAAATCGTATCCCACTGTTCGTTTTAAAAATGTTTGAAGAACTAAATTTATAGTAACAATGGTTGCCATGAGAACAATTTCAATAAAAAGTGTGGTAAGAATGGATTTTTTGAAACTTGTTAGCAAAGCTATAAAAGGCCTAAACAGGTTTCTTAATATAAGTTAAAGGTGTTATGACATTGTATAAACATAGATGAACTGTCAACCCATTGCCGTAGAAAAAAAGTAGATGAATAATGAAATCTGACAAACATATTTATACAAGCTAGAACTGTCAGTGCCTGAAAGGGCGGATGGACATTTGGTAAACTTGGGATACACACACTGAATAATAAATGCATGTTCATAAAAAAAAATATCTTATTTTTTTCAGTGAATGAATGTTGTGTAGCTCTACAGCAGAGAGGTGTATTACAATCAACAGGGGCGAGATATGAGGAACTTGTCAGTGATACAAAGGACAGTTTCCGCTTGTTTGCCAACATAGAACAACTACTGAAATGGCCCACAAAGTTTGGAGAGCAACACTTGTACCAGATTGATCCTGTTACACAAAGAAACTTGATTGAAAAGTAAGGCCATCTTGACTTTGGTTTTTATTTGCCCGAAAGGGCATATTATGTTATACCCCTGGCGTCTGGCTGTCTATGTGTCTGTACATCCATCCGTCCGTTAGCAATTTGATTTCCGTAGCATAACTAAAGTTCCATTTGGCCCACAATGTTCAAACTTCATAGGATGATTGTCTATATTGGGTAGAAGACCCCTATTGATTTTGGGGTCACAAGGTCAAAGGTCAAGGTCACTATTACTTTGATACTGAAAACAGTTTCTGGAGCATAAATTAAATTTCATTAGACCCACAATGTTCAAACTTCATATGATGATTGTCAATATTGGGTAGAAGACCCCTATTGATTTTGGGGTCACAAGGTCAACAGTCAAGGTCACTATTACCTTGATACTGAAAACAGTTTCTGGAGCATAACTTCAGTTCTATTTGGCCCACAATGTTCAAACTTCATAGGATGATTGTCCATATTAGTTTAGAAGACCCCTATTGATTTTGGGGTCAAAAGGTCAAAGGTCAAGGTCACTATATCCTTTAAACTGAAAACAGTTTCCAGAGCATAACATAAATTCCATTTGGCCCACAATATTTAAACTTCATAGGATGATTGTCCATACTGGGCAAAAAAAAACCTATTGATTTTTGGGTCACTAGGTCAAAGGTCAAGGTCACAATTAACTTAAAATTAAAAACAGTTTCTGGAGCATAACGTAAATTCCATTGGCCCACTATATTCAAACTTCATATGATGATTGTCCATATTGGGTTGAAGACCCCTATTTGTTTTGGGGTCACAAGGTCAAAGGTTAAGGTCATTATTAATAACTTACGAATTAATCAAACTACAGCTGTAAAATTCTATTGAATGGACAGCTAATTCCCATGCCTTACAAATGCTTCATCCTTACTAAAATAAAAACATTTTCGGGCATATAATGCTCCGCCTAGCGGTGCTCTTGTTAACTCTTTTGATGAATATGGAAAGGTATCTTGATCATACAGGTGCCATCTTAGTTTAGCTTAATGAACCTATATTAGTTTTGTTTAAACCATCATTTCCTTTTGAAAGTAAAAGTACAACTCTTTTTCATGGATTGACATGTTACACCCTGTGTTTACTTATTTCTTTGGTTTGGCAACGGTTTTGTACCACACTATATTTTCACTATTAAAACTGGAAAAACTTGCACATGACACTTGTTTCTAAGCAAGAGTAGATTAATTGAGATTTTTACATAATTTTGCCCATTTTTTAAGCATCATTATGCCATTGTCCTTGTGCAAAGGCAATTGGTAATGTTATGGGTTACATGTATGGGTCATTATGGGATGACTAAATTGCCTTTTTCATTTTTTTTTTTTTTTTGTTATGGGCTTGATCAAACCGAGTCTGCAATTCTTATGTTATTTTGTTGTGATTAATGCTTCCAAAGGATCACTTTGTTTCCAGAATTTTGTATGTCACAACAGCAGGTGTCAAGTGCTGTGGGGCAGCCGTAAAAAGTTGCCCCGTACTTCACTTCAGTGTTGTTATATTTTTTGGTCCTTCGGGATCATTGATGCCAACACTATAAAGTGTTGAGAATTGAGTACTGCTCAAGCCGGTGCTAGGGGGCATGAGGGATGTTGCACTTATTCATTATCCCTCATGTACAGACTCAATCAAACCGAGTCTGCAATTCTTATGTTATTTTGTTGTGATTAATGCTTCCGAAGGATCACTTTGTTTCCAGAATTTTGATATAATTTTGTGCTGAAAATAGTCTTAGATGTCCTGGAAATATTATAAAGCTGACCAAAGGCTGGCTTTATAATGCTTCGCTTTCTTGACTGGTTTAATGTATGTAATGACAAGTCATATATTATGTCTACAAACAAAACTGGCATTTACTGATTTTTCTCAATTTAATAAGATGCTGATGGGTTTCTTGAAATAATCATGGGAAATCAACTATAACAGTAGTTTTTATGCCACCGCAGCATCTGCGGTGCGGTGGCATATAGCGATTCACCTGTGTGTGTGTTTGTTTGTGTGTGTGCGTGTGTGTGTGTGTGTGTTATATAGATTATATAGTGAACTTCAAAAATCTTCTTGTGAAAAACCACTGGTCCAATTTCAATTAAACTTGGCAGGATTGATCCTTGGATGAAGGGCTTCCAAAGTTGTTCAAAGAATTTCATTCCATGCAGAAATCTGGTTGCCATGGCGACCAAAAGGAATTATAAGAATAAATTTAAAAAATCTTCTTGTAAAGACCCAAAAGGCCTAGAGCTTAGATATTTTGCATAAAGCATTGTCTGGTAGACCTCTACCAAGATTGTTCAAATTATAGCCCTGGGGTCAAAATTGGCCCCGCCCCGAGGTCATTGAGTTTTACTATATGTACATATAGTAAAACCTTAAAATACCTTCATGTAAAGACCCAAAGGGCCTAGAGCTTAGATATTTTGCAAGAGGCATTGTCTAGTAGACCTCTACCCAGATTGCTCAAATTATAGCCCTGAGGTCAAAATCGGCCTCGCCCCAGGGGTCATTGGTTTTTCTTATATGTATATAGTAAAAACTTATAGTAAATTCTTAAAAAAAAATTTCTAGCAATTGACAAATGCTAGAGATTAGATATTTTGCATGAAACATTGTGAAGTGAACCTCTAGCAAGATTGTTCAAATTATAGCCCTGGGGGTCACAATTGCCCCCGCCCTGGGGGTCATTGATTATCAATATATACATATAGTAAAAAATCTTATTGTCTGAAGGTACGAGGCTTAGAGCTTAAATATTTGTTAAATGATATCATCTATAGGTACTCTACCTAAAGTGTTCAAATTTTGCCTCTAGTGTCAAAATTAGCCCCGCCCCGGGGGCCATAGGTTTTTATTATATGTATATAGTAAAAACTTAAAAAATCATCTTCTCTAAATTTACAAAGGCTAGAGTTAAGGTATTTGGCATGAAACATTGTGTAGTGAACCTCTAGCAAAATTGTACAAATTAAAGCCCTGGGGTCAAAATTGGCACAGGGGTCATTGATTTTCTCTATGTACATATAGTAAAAAAAACTTCTTGTCTGAAGGTACAAGGCTTAGAGCTTTGATATTTGGTATATAATATCATCTATGGGTCCTCTTCTAAAGTTGTTTTAATTATGCACTTGTGTTAAAATTGCCCTGCCCCAGAGGCGATAGTTTTCCCAATATGTATAAAGTGAAAACTTGAAAACCTCTTCTCTGAATTGACAAAGGCTAGAGGTTAAATATATGGCATGAGACTTTATGAGGCTTGAACCTCTACCAAGATTGTTCAAATTATAGCCCTGGGGTCAAAATTGGTTCCACCCCAGGGGTCATTGATTTTCATTATGTAAATTTAGTAAAAAAAAAAAAAATTGTCTGAAGGTACAAGGCATAGAGCTTTGATGTTTGCTATATAATATCATCTATAGGTCCTCTACCAAAGTTGTTCAAATTTTTCCCTTGGTGTTAAAATTGGCCCTGCCTGGGGGCAGTGATTCTCATTATTTACACATAGTAAAAACAGAAAATAAAACAAATGTTTTCTGAATGGGAGAAAGCTACAGCTTAGATATTTGACTTGAAATGTTGTTTGGTGGACCTGTATCAAGATTGTTTTGAATTAAACCCTTGGGTCAAAATTTTGCCTTGCCCAAGGGGAAAGTGACCTACTTTCTTGTCCTTTGATGTACAGCAATGGAATTTTGACCATGTGTACAGTTTAAGTTGTAAAATTGAACTTTGATATAAGGTGACCTAGATTTTGATGATGTGACCTACTTTCTTGTCCTTTGATGTACAGCTATGAAATTTGAACCATGTGCACAGATTAAGATGTAAAGTGAACTTTGATATCAGCTGACCTAGATTTTGACAAAGTGTCTTACTGTGTTGTCCTTTGATGTAGTCATGATATTTAGGCTGTGTGAAATATGAACTTCACCACCAAATTCACCAGACTCAAGTGCATTGATATATTCCTACTCTGATCTTTTATTGGATTAACAATAGATTTAACCTCTAATCTGATAATAAGAATTAGATAAGTCAGGGATCTATGCATTATTACAATCTTCAATTGTATAGAAACAAAAAAAATCTGTTCCTACACTACTATTTAGTGTTGTATTAATGCGGTGGCATAGCATTTTTCTCAAATGCAATATGTTTTGGTTTTTTCCCCCATTATATTTCCTTGTCTTTCTTTATTTATATAATATATATATTTCTATCTATGTACATGTTTATATGTCTAATATAATTACAACAGTCTCTAACAGTAATATTTACGGAGAGCAATTTTATGACACCTACTTTTTGTGAGGTGATATATTACCTAGGTGTCTGGCACGGGTAATGGTCACACTTTTCAACTAAATAACGCTCATTTGTGCGACTTTTACAATGTTTATATGTTTTATTGCTTAATATAGGAATAATGCCCTTGCTCGTGTTTCCGCCTTTATTTAAGATATAAGTATAATGCTAATATTAAAACAGTGGGATGTCAGTCTTTATCTATCTTGCTGTTGACATTGGCAATCAATTTTGTGTCTGACCTTAAGTAAATTACTTTGGCTCAGATTTTTATTCAGTATGGCAAATAAATCTCTAACGGAACTTTTGATGCCCTGTCAATGCAAAAAAAAAGTGTTGTCCCACATTAGTATGACAATTTTTTTTATATATTTTTTTGTCAACTTTCCCTGGGCTTATTTAAAAAAAGATTTTAAGATCTTAATGATATTAAAAATAAATTTGATTTCATATTAACACTGTCTACTTAGCACAGTTGCCCCCACTCTCCAATGTCGACTGACATACAGCAGGAACCTATGAGAGAGATAGACAAGGGAAATTCTACATGACTCCTATCCCTAAGTGGTTGGGGCATAAAATGACATCCAATTTTTCCAATGTTGACATCTTGATTTTTAACAATCACAGATGAATATTTATATATACACATGCTGACAAACATTCCTGTAATGTTTCATGACTTCAGGTCAAATACATTTTGGGCTACACATGATATGAGTTGAAAATGAGTCAAGGACAGTAACTCTACATATACTGAATAAATCCACAAGCAAACTCCCAGGTGTACAACTTCACATGCTGACAAACATTTCTATAAAGTTTCATGACTGTAGGTCATATACTTTTTGGGGAATGCATGATACAAGTTAAAAAATTGCAAATTTTAATTTATTCAAAGGCAATAACTCTACAAATATTAAATAAATCCACAATCGAAATCCCAGGTGCACCAACTCATATGCTGACTAACATTTCAGTAAGTTTCATGACTCGGGTCAAATACTTTTTGGGCTATTCACGACAGAAGTTGAATATTGCAAATTTGAAATATAAAACTGGACACAAAGTGATCCCTCGGAAGCATTAATCACAACAAAATTACATAAAAATTGCAGACTCGGTTTGATTGAGTCTGTAAATGAGGGATAATGAATAAGTGCAACATCCCTCATGCTCCCTAGCACCGTCTTGAGCAGTACACAATTCTCAACACTTAATAGTGCTGGCATCAATGATCCTGAAGGACCAGAAAAATGTAAAGTTTTCATGACTCCGGTCAAATACTTTTTGGGCTATGCAAGACAGATGTTGAAAAAGTCAAGGGCAATAACTGAAGAAATTTCCATGTGAAACCCCAGGTGCACAACTTAAGATGCTGATCAACATTTTTGTAAAGTTTCATGACTAGGTCAAATACTTTTTTGGCTACATGCAACTTAAGTTGAAAGTAGCAAATTTTTACTTAGTCAAGGGCAGTAACTCTGACTAAACTAGATAAGTCTACATGCAAAACCCCAGGCACACAATAACAGATGCTGATAAACATTTCTGTAACGTTTGTTGACTCGTCTCAAGTACTTAGAGGTACATGCAACGCAATGTGAGAACAGACAGACAGACACACTCATTGGTCAACTTATAGAGCCAGATCAGAGTGATTGGATGTGCAAGCTGACCAAGCTCTGTACTTGTGGCAAAGGCTCAGCAATTTTAGCAAGCTTTATAAGAGTTGGAAATACTTGAACTTCTTTAAGAATACTTGAACTTCTTTAAATTGTTTTAACACAAAAAAAAAATGTAATTTTACAAATTAAGTCGAAAGTAAGTCATATGTTAGAGTATAAGAATCTTACACTGGCTGCCGGTACAGATAGGAATATCTAGCTCGAGGGTAACTGTTTTCCGGGGTAACGAGGCTCTGCCAAGTTTCCACTAAACAGTTACCTGAAAAGTTTGGTTGTCAGAAAGTCATTCAGTGCATTCTTTGGGGATGAGGTTTGTTGGATTTCATCTATTGCATAATGTACTTTATAAATTAAATTTTAATCCAGACAATATCTACCCATCCCTTATGATTATGTTTCAACTCTGTAAAGATCATAATATCTTATAGACAAACAAAATTTGTTTTGAACATTAAGACAAAAAAAGTAAAACACAATTACAGTGTATTTGATTATTTAAATTGTTTTGTCTAAGTGTCTTTCATATTAATTGACATCACTGCCTTAATGCCTCAGACATTATATTTATTGTTTCAAATGATTTTGATTAAATTGTCTTGTCTCTGAATTGGCTTCTTTTGATAGCTCGAGCTGCCATGCTGTGAGAATCTGTAAGAAGAAACCGGTATGCCGCGTAATTGACATAGAAATTCTCGTTTAATGTCGCACCATACCGTGTTACAGTCTCATTGTCTCACATACCATCAATTTTCTTAAGCTAGTCGTATCTAAGAGTCAAGATAAGCGTTTAAGATGAGGTACATAAAATTATTAGCTGTGACGTCAATGTGAAAAATAATCGCAGTTTGTCAGAAGAAATAAATGGATTGTTTATAACATTTTCGCAATTTACTTGTTCACTTTTGCAATTATTCTGAGGGCTTTTTTTGTTCCCGAGAAAAAGGTTTGGTTTGCTGACTTGACTTAAATTGATACAGTGTTATTAAAAATATGTAACCATATTACCTATTGTGAATTATCTCTGCGATGTATTGAAAGGTCACAATGTTCTACATCTTTATGGCACGAAAGAAAGGCATCAAATATTAAGTAATACCAGTATAATTTGCAAGGAAAACAATATTTACATTGCATATGGTGATAAAAATCCTATGGACTCCTAATGATATATTCTAATCTGGATGTATACATTAATTTTGATATTTATGTAAATATTACAGAGCTTTTAAAGGAAAACATTTTCCACCATCTTTAATAAATGGAGAGTCTGGAAAAGGTTATATGTATTTTTAGCTCGACTTTTCTATGAAAAGGGGAGCTATCCTACTCGCCCCGGCGTCGGCGTCGGCGTCGGCGTTGGCGTTGGCGTCACACCTTGGTTAAGTTTTTCGTACCACCCCACTTTATTTCAGAAGTATTACAAGTATGGCTTTGAAACTTACCATACTTGTTCACCATCATAACCTCCATCTACAGACAAGAGTACATAACTCTGTCAAGGTTTTTGACAGAATTATGGCCCTTTTTTGACTTAGAAAGTGTATTGAGCTTGGTTAAGTTTTTTGTACCACCTCACTTTATTTCAAAACCATTGGAGGTATTGCTTTGAAACTGACCATACTTGTTTACCATCACGACCTTCATCAACAGACAAGAGGACATAACTCTGTCAAGGTTTTTGACAGAATTATGCCCCTTTTTGACTTAGAAAATACATTGAATATGGGTAAAATCCACTTATTGCCTTAACCCTTTGAGATATTGCTTTGAAACTTTTAATGCTATTTCACATCATTACCCCCATCTGTACGCAAGAGAAGGTAACTCTGTCAAGGATTTGTTTTAAAAATTAAGGCCTTTTATCGACTTAGAATCTTGGTTAAGTTTTTAGTACCAGTCCACTTTTTGACTGAACTGTTTGAGATATTAATTTGAAAGTTGGAATACTTGTTTACAATCATGATTCCCAAACATGTCCAGGAGAAGGTAATTCTGTCAAAGATTTTATTTGAATTATGGCCATTGTTCACTTTAAAAATACAGAGATTCTTGTATTGCCTTTTACTGCAAAAACTTTTTTTATTGGCAAGCAATAAAAAAGTCGAGCGCGCTGTCTTACGGACAGCTCTTGTTATATAAGAGCCAGCCTGCTTAAAAGGTCTGATATATGCTGTCTTGCTTAAAAATGTAAAACTGTCAGCTTCAACAAACTAAAGTAAAACTGTCAGCTTTAAAAAAACTAAAGTAAAACTGTCAGCTTTAAAAAACTAATTAACCTTTTTGATGCCCTTAAGGGAGACATATTAAAATCACGTGTCTGTCTGTCCGTCCGCCTGTTAGTCCGCACTACCGAAAAGGGATAGAGGGCCATCTAACTGTAAACAGAACAAAAGAGTTCATTCCGTAACAATAGAGTAAGGGGCCATTGGCCCCCTATTAAACAATAGAAAATAACAAAAGAAATGGCCCTTTATTCCATTTCGGCCGGACGTCCTTACAAACCCAGAGGTACTTGTGTGACTTGGAGAACAATGGGTAACAGTAAATTCTCTTTGATCCTATTCATTCCGTTTTCAATTGTGTGTCTTCTATGCTCCCTGAAAAAATTTGGGGGAGCATATAGTCGCAGGGTTGTCCGTCTGTCCTTATGTACGTCCCTAATTCATGTCCGGCCCATTACTTTGTTATTTGAAGTCAGATTTTACAACTATTTCACAGAAATGATCACCATATTGAGATGATGTGTCACGCACAACATTTGGGTCGCTACCTTGAAGGTCAAGGTCACAGCATGACCTTGCAACAAAATTGTGTCCGGCCCATAACTTTGTTATTTGAAGTCGGATTTGACAACTATTTCACAGAAATGACCACCATATTGAGACAACATGTCGCGCAAGTCGGTTCATAGATCTCATCAAGTAAAAGTGCAGTGCAAAGAACAGTAACTCTGCCTTGCCTTAGTTTAGAATTGTCACACTTTGAACTTATTCTGGGACTACAAAAGATAGACTTTTCTGTGGTTAAAACCCAGTGGGGGAGCATCACCCGGTTCAACCAGCTCTTGTTATCTTATTAAAGCAGAATATAAAAACATATTTTGGTACTAAATTTACACTGTTTTTATTGCACTAAATTTTGCCTATGATAGTCACAAGTCTTCTTGTCATACATGTGCATTGTACATTGTAAAAGCAGGGATCTTGAATTAAGCTTATATGGGTTGAGGGACTTTGCCAAACATTTTAAATAGTAGAGAAATGTTTTCACCTTTTATCTTTTCAGCTACTATAAGTTTGATGATGTAGTTATTAGAGAGATTCTTGGGCGCAAGTTGTCAACAAAAAACCGCAACAATTTAGATGATGTCAGCGACAAAACACGGATACCACTTAGAAGCTGTTGTAGACAGGTATTTGTTATTTCTGCTGGCTTCCATATTTAAGTCTGACATGGACGTCTTAGAAATATAATCTAAAATCAGAAAGAAAAACAAAGTGATAAAATCAGTTGTAAACAAAACACTTAAGACATAGTCAAGTATTTTTATTTTAATATCAAAAGACAGCTAGACATTGCTCTAAAAGTATTCTTTTTGCTGTATTTTGCTAATAACAATACTGGGCTATTTGATATGGATTGATTAGCATTTAATTATACTAAACAAGACACTGCAACATGTGTCTATGTGTCTGTCAGCCGATTGTTTTGCCTATCTAAGCACTATATATAGATTGGAAAGATAAAAAATTCTAAGACTGTTTATACGACACAAACAAAATATTACCCATATCCTTTGAGTAACAGTATTTTTGTCTTGAAATCTATGGAAGTGAATTTTATCTAAATCTCATATATAATTATGGCCTTACTTGTGAGGGTGGACATATTGGTTGGCCATGGTTTATCTGTCCATCCTTCTTTTGTGATGTCCTACTGTCAGACTGTGGGTCCATATTATACTGACAAAACATGGGATTGTTTGGGGAAAGCCTTATCCTATGGACACAGTTTTTGTTTAAATTCTTGTATGGAATTCTAATTGCTGTTTTCAGTTTGACAATGTAAAGAGGGTGTTTAAGACAGTAGAAGAGATGCCAGGATCACTGGAACGAAATATCAAGACACATTTCTGTATCATGTCTGATGAATTAGCTAAGTATGTTCTTCTTTATTGTTTAAAGTTAATCCTTTCCATGCATTCATGCAGGCCCTATTTTGTTGTGTGATAAAATACTCATTTTGGACTTCAAACCATTTGCCTCTCACCTCTGTGGGTTCGAATCCCTACAGGGACTTTGGATTCTTTCATGTGAGGAAGCTATCCAGCTAGCTTACGGAACGTCGGTGGTTCCACTCGGGTACCCGTTCGTGCCTGAAATAATGCACAGAAGGGCACCTGAGGTCTTCCTCCACCAGCAAAGTTGGAACGTCGCAATGACCTATACTGTGTCGATGTGACGTAAACCCCAAAACAAACAAACAAAATACTCATTTTGATATCCCCTAAGTTTATTATGGACAGTTCCATAAAATGAAGTTGGACAAGTCTATTGAAAATTTTTTAGCAGGTACAGGGTTAGTAGTTAGCTTTCAATTAGGGAGAAGGAAGATCTATGAACTTAAGATAACTTAAGTCCAAGTTGTGGCATGTTGTTATGTGACAATTTAGCGACAGACAAAGTACAATGTGGTTAACACCGGTTGTGATTTCAATGTTGTTTTAAGGAATTTATTTGAGGAAGTGGCAACTACATGAATAGGAATTGTAAAGATTTCATGAACATATACTGTGAATTCACTTAATTCCTTGGGTATGAAATTTTGTGGTTTTGTCACAAAGAAAATTTTATTTTCATGGGTTCTTAAATTCATGGACTGTCTATTTTTCCATTAGGTAAAATGTAAATAATGTGATGCAAAATAATCTTACAGCAGACAAAATGAAATTTCATTGCATCTTAAATTTGTGGATTGACCTGTCCACGAAAACAATGGAAATTAGTTCCCCATGAATAATAATGACTTTGCAGGAAGACAATCTAGATTCTCCAGTCAGGAAGACAATCTAGATTCTCCACTCAGACTGACTCAAGAGTTCTATTGTGTTGACAGTTTGGTTCAGTGCTTTGGTCTGAACATTATACTATTTCTGTTGCCTAAAGATTTGAATAACAAAATAAGAAAAGAGAGATTGTTTAATGAGATACCATGAGATATATATTTTGTTTTATTTCAGGAAATATGCAGCTATTGTCTTTATGGCAAACCATCGATTTGAAACCGGGAAGAAGCGTTTAAGTCATTTAACATTTGATGATTTCTTGTTCTGTACAGAACACATGATTGTCAACTGGTCATATAGTGCAGCAGGTGAGGGGAAAGTTTCACAGTGCATATTACATAACCTGCAAAAGTTCATCCTGTTGCCATTGTATTTTTCGAATGATGTTATCTTGTATAAAAGGCAAAGATTTTGGACTAAGACTGTTAGAATTTAGAATTCAGATCCTATGCATAAAAGAACTTAGGTTTTTGGACTAAGAATGTTAGATTTTAGAATTCAGGTCCTATGCATAAAAGAACTTGGGTTTTAGACTAAGAATGTTAGATTTTAGAATTCAGGTCCTATGCATTAAAGAACTTAGGTTTTGGACTAAGAATGTTATATTTTAGAATTCAGGTCCTATGCATAAAAGAATTTAGGTTTTGGACTAAGAATGTTAGATTTTAGAATTCAGGTCCTATGTATAAAAGAACTTTGGTTTTGGACTAAGAATGTTAGATTTTAGAATTCAGGTCCTATGCATTAAAGAACTTAGGTTTTGGACTAAGAATGTTATATTTTAGAATTCAGGTCCAATGCATAAAAGAATTTAGGTTTTGGACTAAGAATGTTAGATTTTAGAATTCAGGTCCTATGCATAAAAGAACTTGGGTTTTAGACTAAGAATGTTAGATTTTAGAATTCAGGTCCTATGCATTAAAGAACTTAGGTTTTAGACTAAGAATGTTATATTTTAGAATTCAGGTCCTATGCATAAAAAATTTAGGTTTTGGACTAAGAATGTTAGATTTTAGAATTCAGGTCCTATGTATAAAAGAACTTTGGTTTTGGACTAAGAATGTTAGATTTTAGAATTCAGGTCCTATGTATAAAAGAACTTCGATTTTGGACTAGAATTTTGAATTTTAGAATTCAGGTCCTATGCATAAAAGAACTTTGGTTTTGGACTAAGAATGTTAGATTTTAGAATTCAGGTCCTATGCATAAAAGAACTTAGGTTTTGGACTAAGAATGTTAGATTTTAGAATTCAGGTCCTATGCATTAAAGAACTTAGGTTTTGGACTAAGAATGTTAGAATTTAGAATTCAGGTCCTGTGCATAAAAGAACTTAGGTTTTGGACTAAGAATGTTAGATTTTAGAATTCAGGTCCTATTAATTAAAGAACTTAGGTTTTGGACTAAGAATGTTAGATTTTAGAATTCAGGTCCTATGTAAAACAATTCATTTGTCCTAGCAATGTGTGTGTACCTCATTGTGTACAGAAAAAATAGGTAAAGTATTTTTAGGATGGAAAAAATTAAGAGAGGTAAAAGCCCACTATAATATAACAACAGTAGAATGTTTGAAAGCTGTCATTGTGCTGAGGAAGTAAATAAAATAGTGATTTAAATGATCACAAAGTAAATTATGCTAAAGAATTGTTTAGTTACCAAAATTATGCTGCAATCTGTAAATCTGTAAATTTTATGCAATTAACAAGCTTTGCTTTGCTTTTGTAATTAGAAAATTGTTGCATTTCACAAGCAAATAATTGTCAATAATGTAAAGCCATGTCTGACAGAATACATGTACAGGGTGGCCTGGCTCTACACTGGTGACAAAGGTTTGTCACAGTCATTTCCACCATTCATAGGGTTCATGCAGTGTATGTGAACAGAACAGAACGGAACAGAAAATTTATTTTAGATTTAATCATTACCGCTTATCATCATCAACCATTAAATATATACATATACAATAATTACTTATATTGCATACAAAAATCATGGATTGAATTACATATATCATTACGGTTAGGTACAAATGTATTTAATATGTTTTAATTTGTTGCTTGTGAGAGAGTACACATCTGTATACCGGTAATGATATTTAATTTTGAGTATTCATTTTATATGTTAATGCTAAAGATGCATAATTTTTGCATGAAATTATCTGGTTCAATAATTTTTGACAGAGTTATAGTCCTATATTTTCTGTTACAGAATGTGATAACCATGAAGATATGGATGTAGATTTAGACAGAATGTTCTTACAAGAACTGCGAGACCTTAAAATACTCACTGAGAAAGAATTTCTAGATGAACATAGAAAGTAAGTCTTACATGATTGTGCCCGGTTTCCTTAGATTATATGTGCCAAATAAAACAAAAAGAAATTTGTAATATCATTTTAATACACTGTTGGCTTTTGCATATGTTTTATTAGTTTCCTCTGGCTTTTGCTCTTCTTTCTGGATTGTTTATCATATTCTATTGGATATAAATGCTGTTTTTTCGAGTTTATTTTCAATCCATTTTCAAAGGGAGTGGTGACTTATATTTTTCACAATTACAAAACGCCAGACTCTGTCAAGTTATATAACTGTGTTTACAATTGTTTGGGCAATTTTTCTGACCATAATTGAATGAATGGGTAAACATTTTTTGAAATATTGTTACTGTAGTGACAAGAATCTGAGCCAGGGGTATTAGTGTTTAACCCTTTCCCTCATGAGCATATTGTGAAAAATGGCTGTTTTATACTGAAAAGCCTCCTGTTACAAGTTCAAACTGCTATGAAACTATGAAAAATGCTTCAATACTAATCAAACTTAGCACAAATGTTGCTTGGACCATTGCCTTTCTAACGACATGCAAAGTCTTAAATTTCCTGTTACCATGGCAACGAGGGGACATCTCAAAATTGCTAAAAATCACTATTTTGCCTCGATTTTTTCCATCAAAATTTATTTCAAAATGCTACAACTTCTCAAGGGATTGAAATAGAGTCAAAGGCTTTTCAGTGTTGGTTACACGTTACATTATGTTCACCTGGGGTCAATTTTTAGCCTCTCACAAGTCCAAAATTGTCTTGGCGATGAGGGGGACTCCGCCCCCTTCAAACCCCCCAAACAGAAGGGGGCACATCCCCCTTCTGGCAAGCCCCTGATGTATCTTTTGGATGGGAAAAAGTGCTCAATTTTTTTAGCAACATTTCTCAAACAAATACGTGTTTGGGGCCCAAAAAGGACATTTTTTCACTATTTGAGGCCTAAAAGAGGGGGGGGGGGTCGAAAGTGCGTTGTTTCGCGTATATATATGAGGTAAAGGGTTAACAAACACATTCTTGTTTCATATGACACCAGTACTGGTTAGTTTCAGAATGTGAATTTGTAAGTAATAAATATAAGTTGCAAGAACTTGTTTTTTTACAATCATGCTAATATCGATTATATTTAGAATTTTAAATTAATTTTGACATTTTATAATTTGTATAATTACATAAAACTGCAAGCATACTGTTTGAATAATTTATTGTTTATCTGATATTAATTTCAGTTACTTGATGAATAGTTTAAAAACCAGTTTAACAAAGAAGAAGCTTACTGATCTTGATGACAATTTTAAGGTGAGTATTAAGCCTAATACATTGAAGAGAGAAAGTTTTAAACAATTAGTTTCTTAAATGGACTTGTCCTATATATTCCATTTGGAAGTGTCTGTGACAATTCTTTTTGGGTATATCAGGATAAAAAATCTTAAATTTGTCACGAGCAGTATAGAGCCTGGTCAGACTGCATGGATTTGCAGGTTGTCCTGGTTCTATTCTGGTGGAAAATGCTGGTCACTTTTGGTTCCAGGTTTGACAGGGTTAAATCAAGGATTGTGTCACCTTTCTATTCCTTCCTCTTAAGTTTATGATAATATTTAGGGAAAATTTAAAAGATTGAATATCAAACAGTGCAGGTTATGATAAGACGGCATGGATGTGCCAGCTGATCTTGGTAGCCACTGGTTACATGGGTGGAGTCAGTCCCTGCAAGCATGCCAAGGGTTAAAAGTCATAATTATATGCCTAGAAATGTAACTGTTTTGCTGAAATTGTCATGCTTATGTATGAAATATTTAGGATAACATTAATTTTCAACCATTTTATATATTGGGAGAAGGCCTTTATATAACCTCTATCTAATGCAGATAATTTCTAGATCCTCAACTACAAATTTATGAAAAATTTGAGAAGAAAAAACATTGAGATTTATGAATTATTATAATACAATGTACTGTATGTGTAGAAATATTCGCGGGCTTCAAATTTTCGCGATCTTCGCGGTGACATTCGATCCGCGAATTCATGTTTAGCGCGAATATTTCTACACCAATAATTTCTTAATAGTCATATGTTCGCGCTTCTGTAGAACAATGTACATGTATATCAGTGTGTGATATGCTTTCAAACTTTTTATGTAAATCTTCACCGAGTAATTGGGTTTTGTTTTCCGAATTATTCATCATTTAAAATCGTTTATGTTTGTGTTTTTTAATTGTTTATTCAGAAAAACCAAAACATGATGTGATCAGATGTCAAGACTTTTATGACGCAAACTGTGAAATATTATACACGTTAACGGGCATTCTTTTGTTTGCTATAATCTGTCTGCTAGACAATGTCTTTTTTCTGTACAATAGAGTATCGTTTGACACCTGTTATTGAAAATAAATGTGAACTCCCACGATGATTACAGTAATTTTCCTTTTTTAACCTAAGTGGTCTACGCGAATTTATGATTTTCGGCAGTCACCTCCGCGAATTCAAAATAGCGCGAATATTTGTATAGACCCCCAAAGTGGACCTTTCCGCGAAAATTTGCTTCCACGAATTTAAATACACATACAGTATTTGAAAAAAATCATAAACTTCTTGTATATGTTCAAAAATCAAACAGAAGATAGTATTAAAATAGTTGCAAATATGCTTTATTTTTTATTGATTTTGGTATACTATATTTAGGTATCTTATGTAGACATCTGTTGTGGGTTATCAAAAAGCTCTAGCATTATAATTGTTTCCAGTCACTAAACTCACTTTATGTATCTTAGAGTTGTCTCCCTTGGTCTATATTAATGTACCATTTTCATATATATCAAACAGTTGTTCTATCTAGAGAGTACAGATGTACTCTCGAAATACTTCTGATAGGAATTATAGGAGGATTAAGGCAGTTTTAATAGCTATAATGGCATAAAAATGAAATCTTTCTTTTAAATTTAAAATATTTCCCAGGAAACATTTTTAGCTCGACTTTTCTATGAAAAGGGGAGCTATCCTACTCGCCCCGGCGTCGGCGTCGGCGTTGGCGTCACACCTTGGTTAAGTTTTTCGTACCACCCCACTTTATTTCAGAAGTATTACAAGTATGGCTTTGAAACTTACCATACTTGTTCACCATCATAACCTCCATCTACAGACAAGAGTACATAACTCTGTCAAGGTTTTTGACAGAATTATGGCCCTTTTTTGACTTAGAAAGTGTATTGAGCTTGGTTAAGTTTTTTGTACCACCTCACTTTATTTCAAAACCATTGGAGGTATTGCTTTGAAACTGACCATACTTGTTTACCATCACGACCTTCATCAACAGACAAGAGGACATAACTCTGTCAAGGTTTTTGACAGAATTATGCCCTTTTGACTTAGAAAATACATTGAATATGGGTAAAATCCACTTATTGCCTTAACCCTTTGAGATATTGCTTTGAAACTTTTAATGCTATTTCACATCATTACCCCCATCTGTACGCAAGAGAAGGTAACTCTGTCAAGGATTTGTTTTAAAAATTAAGGCCTTTTATCGACTTAGAATCTTGGTTAAGTTTTTAGTACCAGTCCACTTTTTGACTGAACTGTTTGAGATATTAATTTGAAAGTTGGAATACTTGTTTACAATCATGATTCCCAAACATGTCCAGGAGAAGGTAATTCTGTCAAAGATTTTATTTGAATTATGGCCCTTAACTGTCAATGTTTTGACTTAAACATTTCAAACTTTGCTGCAGTGTTCAAGGGTATCACACAATTCAGTAAAATAATTCTTCACTAAATATCTTAATGCTCATGGCCATTGTTCACTTTAAAAATACAGAGATTCTTGTATTGCCTTTTACTGCAAAAACTTTTTTTATTGGCAAGCAATAAAAAAGTCGAGCGCGCTGTCTTACGGACAGCTCTTGTTTTTTAAGTTTTGGTCCCTCAACATAATGACTTTCCAATGTCACAACTATAGGCTAGATTGTATGTACATGCAGTTTAAACCACCTTAATATTGTCAGCTGTTTGATTTTATATTTTGGTATGAAATTCTTTTTTGTAACAATTGTTTGTTTCAAATTCAAAGCATGATAGATCATTTTTAGAAATACAGCAGTGTACAGCCCCCGATAGGTTTAAGTACACAAAATTGAGTGCCAAGTATATTTCTAATTACATATATCTTTGTTATGTGAACAACATGTATAAACACTTACATTATACCAGTAATTATTAAAATATTTAATGTAATAAATGCAAAATAATATGTGATAGTTTACATGATTTATATACATTGTGTATGTTAAGTTTGATTAGAAACGAACAGAAATAAAAGAAAAATTAATGATAATTCTAAAATTTTTACTATAGACTAATTTTTCCATTTCAGAACTTATCAAAGGCCATTATTTCCATTGCCTATGGATTGAATCACAGTAAAGAGGTCAAAAATTACTTTGTTGATGTTGTTGAGAAGGTATTACAATTTACATTATATATTTTAGAGAGTAACCAGTGATACTGACTGGCTTATACCATTAGTATAGAGTCAAGCCGTCAACATTTTTTGTATGAATTTTTAACGTTTACCACCCTAGATATTTTAAATGGACTTGTCAATCTTTTAATCTGGACATAACCAATCAACATTTTTAGGGAAAATTTAAAAATAAGTAAGGAATGAACAGTGCAGAAACTCAGTGCTGGTCTGCACCAGTGGCATGGATAGATTCTTTTGTTGCCAGAAGGTTAAAGGTTACATGAGTAATTCTTAAAAGTAACACTTGTTGAATTTAATCTCTTGTCATATTGATAGTTTGAAGTAAATGAAAAGCTTTTTGGCTATATCATTTTGGTATATCAGGGAAAAAAACTTGTAAATTTGTCTGTGATATTGAAATACATGTAAGTAAAATAGCAAAAAATTCTAACAGAAGCTTTCATATTGATTTTGGAAAACTGTTTTATTAAAATGCAAGTAGATTTTCTCTACTGTAGTTATATTTTATTTTCATTTATAGGTTATAGAGCCATTTATGATGGCGATGTGGTCTGAAGATGACATGGTGAAGTTTCTGAATTTGTACAAAGATTCCGGTTTAAGACTATCAGTGTTTAGGTAGGTATAAACCTATGAGTCTATATTAGGTATATTATGTTTTCTCTTAATAATTTTGGCATATAGAGACTTTCATTGTCTAGTGGCTAAAGTAGTTGATGTAGAATTATTTTTTCCTGGTATCTATTGATTCCAATACTATGCCATATGAATTGACTTGTTGTAAACTTATATAAGAAAAAAATATTTAACATAAACTTGGTCATATAATTGTAACCTTTCAAAAAAGTTTTCTATCTTAACTTATTCATAACACTGCTGAAGTTTTTGTTTTTTGTTTTTTTTATTGAAATTAAGTCAGTAGCTGGGGTGTGGGTGGCCGAGTGTTTAAGGTAGTTTACTTCAAACAACTTGCCCCATACCACTGTGGGTTTGAATCCCAGCAGGAACTTTGGATTCTTTCATTTAAGGAAGCTATCCAGCTATAGTTTAAGGAATGTCAGTGGTTCTACTTAGGTGCTTAAAATAATGCAGGGAAGGGCACCTGAGGTCTTCTTCCACCAGCAAAGCTTAAGAGTTGCCATATGACCTATACTGTGTTGGTGGGACATAAAATCCAACAAAAATCAAAATAATCAGCAGCTGTGTATATAGATACAAAGATCTTGACTGTCCATTGAAAATCAATTACTGAAATCAAGCAATATTACATATAAATTGTTTTAACCCTTGTACATTGTAAATATAAAGTTATCAAGCTATTTATGTATGATTTTGATTTCAGAACTTTACCTAACATGGTTACAGTGTGGGAAAGATATATGAACACTTTCAACAAATGCTGCCTTAAATTGTACCATAATTAAGTAGACTGTGTCACTTTCTTTTTGACCACTGTTATAGGTAGAAAAAATGTTATCTTATAACCAGTCAAAATGATGTCATATTGTACCTGTGTCACTTAGGTCGTGTCACTTAACTGGAAATAAATATCAAAGTCTTTTTCAGACCAGTCTTAAATGTTAACTATTTACACCTATTTACCAATCTGTTTTGAATTATTTTAAAATTGTCAATCATTATTGATTACTTTAAGTTGAACTCAACTTTAACCTACACAAAGATATTTCTAGTAGAAAGGCAATATATTTGAGATTTATTTGAAATGTGATAATAATACATGTATGTTGCCATATTTTATGCTCTACATTTTTTTTCTCAATGAAGTATATACACTTCATAAATGCAAATTTGTCATTGAATTTCCCTTTTTCAATCCATGTGTCACAGTTAACGTCCTTGTGTCACAGTTACCATTTTGTCATAGCACCTTGATTTATTTACTGATATCCTACATATTTATGTTATGTTTGTATCCTCTATTGGCCTATACCCTAAGATGGGAGATTAAGTCAATTGGTCAAGGTCATATAGGCTAAAAATAGGTTTTCCTACTCTCATTCAAGGCCATGTTTTTAGCCTTGTCAAAGAGACAGCAGAGAGCATTCATCAATATACCAAATTGTCTTCTTTAATAGATATTATAAAAGTATTTTGAAGATAACTGTTAATTGATATTTAAGATTGCAAAAGTATATTTTTCCATGCACTTTTAAGTTTTCTTCTTTTTTTTTTAACTAAAATCCTCTTGCAAGATGCTATTAACATTATTTAATAATTTTAGTGATTCTCAGACCACTAGAATATTATAGGTTATTATTAAACAAATATTGTGATATGATTATATGAAAATAAAACACAATAAGTTAAATTCAAATATTGAACCCTCACTATGTTGAAACCAGAACTGTGAAATCTTTGCTACCAGACTCTATGCCATTGTCTAATCATCTAGACTGTTGTCTCACTGGCTACAAACTGTTGTTTGCCCAATTTCCAAAATTAATATTCATAATAAAAAACATGATTGAATCATAATAAAATTCTTAAAATTCATAATGAAGTGTTTCAAAGTGGAAGTTGGAAAAGTCCATTTAGCATATTCGGCAGTTTAGAGGTTGAGGTTGTAAAAAGTGTGTAACTTTACAAATATCTATTTAGTGTATTATTTTAATTTTTCTGCTGATCTCATAGTTATACAGGCATTACATAAAAACCTTCAGATGTTTCTGATATTATCATGTACATATTTCTTACATAACAAACAAATGCAAACAATGTATCATAATGTTATAGTTATGTACATGTAATAGTGCAATTGAAGATATTTTATTAGCTCACCTTGGCAGAGAGTGTTGTAGGGTGACTTTGTATTTGCTTGATGTCTGGCATCTTTTATTGTCTTCTTTTTGTTTAAAGTTAAACCTCATTATATGTAAAACAGCAGGGTAGATTTTTACCAGACTTCACAAGAATTGTCTTGAGGAAGTCCTTTGCATAGTTTGTATAAATCATCTTACCAATAAGCATCTTACGCTGATGTAGCCATTGTTGGTCACACAAGTCAAAATTAGATTAAAAATTTTAAGAAATAGATTGTTATGTTACAAACTTCAAGGCCAAGACCTTAGATAATTGGAATGCAATAATTTGTCTTGTGTTCCTGTTATTTTATTTTATGAATTTCGCCCTTAGCATAAAGAGTGGCCCCTCCATTGTGATCACTTGTTTTGAATATTGTTCAATGTTAAAAGTCTTTCTGAAAATAAATATGTCTTGGCTAAGATACTTGTCTAATTGGCCTCTACAAAAGTAATATGGAAATCATGGCAGAGTTCAAAATTGTTCCTGTTCTGAAGTCTATTGTTGCATGGACATTAACAGGAAAAAATCCCATTGCCAGTGAAACAAAAAAGTCCTTAGGCTAAGTTATTTGATATTTAGATATTTGTTATCTTTGCGGCTTCTTCAAAAGTTATACAACATGTATATATCTTATTTCAAGATACAGAAATGGTATTATTATTAAGACAATTTTATCTTCTTTTCCGTTAAATTGGGTGAGCCATTTAAACTCACTTGAGGAACTGTTTCCATGTAGGAATTCTTTGCTTTTGAATGCTTTATGGGACCATTGCTATGTGTAAGGGTAGAGGCTATGAAGTGATTTCTTCAGCATTAAGAAACCTACACTCATTGCTTAGTACTAGTTTGTTCCAGCTACAGATTTAAGAATGTTTCAATAAGCGTATAGCTGCCAACACAATCAAACTAAAATAAATGAGAATAAACTAAGAAACAAAGAAATAATAAAATAAAAATATGTGTAGAAGATGGAGTAGTTACTAGTACATAAGTACTTTGGGATTTCACTGCATAGCCTATACCTAACTTAGTGTTAAAGTTTCTGATCAGCAGTAAATAGCTTAGCTATAATGTCTAAGTGCATTAGAAGAATTTAAATTTGGTTTGATCCTTTGATCAGCCTTATTATCTATATGACAATATTTTTGTTTGTTACAAATAAAATAAAAGATTCAGATTAAAATGTTTGTTTTAGAGCTTTATATAAATACATTGATGTAACTGCATGAAAATATATAGGTTCAGTATAACTTGTTTTAATAAAACATTTAACAAATGATTTGTAAAAGAAAAATACTAAACACTAAGAATAAGTGTTTTAAGTGGAAACATGCATTCCATGGTATGTGTTTTATATACTATTTTATAGGTAAAATACAGTTGTGTTTTACTTTTTTACTTTTTTGTTTAGAATTAATTGATGTATTAAGGAGTAAAGTGTATAAGCAAGAAAAAATTGTTTTGTTTTCTATGAAATCATCTTGTGCTATTGTATCCTGTAAACCTGTTTTTGAAGAATATGGTATTTTTGAATCAGATTTTTAAATGGCTTTTCATTGCATCTTGTCTGTAGTGCAAGTCTTGTGTTAATCTTTTATCATATACATATAAAACATTTGGCAGTTTAGAATGGTCATTTGAACACATTGCTTATTATACATTCTGTAGACCCGTAACATTCCGGTCAGTTTCCGGATGATGAGGTATAGCCCTTCCATTCCTACATGGTGACTTTATTATAAAGTATAACAAGTCATGAAATGTATTGGTATTTAGTTTTGTCAAGTGTATTACACTACATATCATGTATTTCCCTTGTGTTGGAAATGGCATTCTACTCCACATCTTAAGTGGATAGATTAATTGCAAGATAAGTGTAATGATTGATTTTTAATGAAATTCTGTTTATGGATTTACAAAGATAGACTGGATTCTGGATAAGTTTTACTTAAATAGTTGCTATGGTAACATATACATGTAGAAACTGCAAGTAAGATTTAGTACAGCTTAAATCTTGGGGGGAAAAATGTTCAAAAGATTAGAATGTTCGGAAATCTAACACAAATGTAAATGGTTCCTTGCATTTGATACGGCTTCTGTTTGTCAGAAAAAACAGTTCATGATACATGTACCATGGACAAAAATTCCAACAGTATATCGCGGTATATCTAGTCTCGTTTTATTTTTAGAGGTAAGTCATATAATACACCAAAGGGCCTGCTTGGCGCCAATGCAACATGTAGAAAATCTTCAATCGAATGTTAAAATGGCAGCATGATTTTGAACATAATGACAGCTAAGAAAGTGTACTCTTGTGCTTTTTGACTAGCTAAACTGAAATAATTATTGTTCAGTTATGAACTTGTTCTTTACTTAAATACGTTTGAATCGATGGATTTACAATAGCTCCTGAGACTTAAGATTATGTGAAGTAAATACCAGCAAAATGTCGCCGCACCCGAGTTTAAAGACATACTGTCCTTACAAAGACGGTATACTGTAAACTATAGACTCGACTCTGCCTATCCTATGCCTAAAGTACATGCCAGAAGATGCCGTGTATTGCGTGATACAATATACGTAAGAACTACATTATACGGGAAAGGCATTTAGAACTGGTGTTTAAAGACAGCACAAGACAAGACACGACTTTTAAAGACAAACATCCTTCTGTAACTGTCCGACAACTATTGCTTCTTTCTCCATAGCAACGTAACAACTTTCAAATAAATGTAATTTCAATACGCTCACCTGTCTTTAGCCATGTCTATGAATGAATGTTAATTGCACTTAGGAACCCAAAGATCAATTTCTGGAGGAAAGAAATTGTCTCTTTTATCCAATCCCAGCTTTGTCAAGATGTCATTGATGGAAATCAGAAGTAATCAAGTATCTATTGAATATCTAATAGAGTTTTTTGAAAGCAAAACGTTACCGGTATGTATTGACGTTTCTTATTTCTGAGAGACAAGACTGACACGTGAAAGCATTTGTGTATTGAGAAAAAGAACGCGCTTTCTACGTGATTAATAGGCATGTTTAAAGTTATAAAAGCCGTGGCGAGCACTGATTAATGGAAAACGTATTTCACAATGAAAAACACTTTCCAGTACAGTTCAAGGGGAGAGACAAGCGTAAGAAAAACAAGCCTATCTGAACATCAGTATACAATTTCATCCTGATATTATAAAATATGCAGTAGAAAAACGAACTTGTTGAATTAAACTAGCAGTTGAGCTGGCGGTCTTTTTTTCAATTGCGGAGGATTCTGTCATTTTCTATAGAAGTTGCTTTCAGATAGTAGTCAGTAGGTGTGAATTTAACACACACAACTGTCCAAGTATTATTTGACCGAGTCCCGAAATGTCTAGGTATCATTTGACCGAGTTTCACAATGTCCAAAAGTCTACCGGATTTCCCATGTATTATTTGACCATAGTCCAGAATGTTCTTAACTTGTAACACGAATCCTTAGGTAGCTAGCGGCAAGTGAATTTACCCTTTCGACCAGTGTAAAACAAGACCAGTTTGCACATACGCGCAGTCTGGCCATGCTCTGCACTGTTCATGCTCTGCTCTGTTTGCATATTCAGTCAGTACATATTTTAATGAGGAACAGTTTTCTCAGGATTGAATGATGGAAAAGTCTAAGATATGTCGTAGCTCAGTAAAAGTTAAAATATTAGTACATTTCGTTTAGCAATACAATTACATATCACTTAAGGTGTGAGGAATACCTTGAAGCTCATTCGCGGTCAATTTTCTGTTAGTCATTCAATTAATATAAACCGAAGTCTGGCGTAAGCTACCGAAATTGGCCGATTGCAGTTTTAATTTGTATCGCTTATAAACGATATCTGTGCAAATTAGAGAGAAGGTGATCATCAAACTGTTCTACATATCCTGCTTACGTATCTATGTTTTATGTTAAGAAACTATTTCTAATTTTTTTATATCGTTTGATCCTTGGGGACATAAAATCAGCATCAATGTCTCTAAAACGATTGTTTGTCTGTTAAGACAAATTAATTGCTATTCTTTAGAAAATTAAATTTGATACGGCGTATAATTGAAGGAGGGAGACTTTCTTGCTAGGTAATCAGTGGAAATTTTATGGTTCTTAGATGAAAGAGAAAGGGATTTTTTCCTGTACTATCGTAGTCTTTGCAGACAATGGTAATTTTATTTTGTTTCTGTAGGAGACCATTATTCTATAAATGTTACATGATATTTCGACTCGAGTATATATCATAAAATGAGCTCAGATTTCATATTTATACGACTTGTGAGATTTCAAGTCTGAATGATGGTCTTGTACTGTTACATGCCGGGCTTGGCGTTGCCAGCAATATTTGCTTAGTGAAACCATTTGATAACATACAATGAAATATAAATGAATATCGTCATTGTTCATCATTATGATATATATATTCTAGCTCCAGCGTCCGCAAAGAACCGTGTTGCGTCCAGCCATCTGACCTTATCATAAGTTATAACTATGACGTGTAGATTTTATGGTTTAATATTGAGTCAACTCACCAAACTTTGACAGATACAAAATATTTAGCAAGTTATATAAATTGTTGAAAATAGCACATTATTTTTCACAATTTCGAGCCATGTCTCAATTCGTCCTTTTAAAACAGAAACTGATTCTAACACAAAAAAAAGAAACAGAAATACATTGAACGTCATGGCATTTTCCAATAGACTGTTGTCATATTGATATGTACAAAAATCAAATTTTCTGTATGTACCTTAACAAGTTTTTACGTTGCTTAGAATTGAATATTTATATATTAACAATGTTTTGTCTATTTTTCGAACCCTTCTTGAAGAATAATAATTTGTCAGACGTAATGTCGCATCCAAATTTAGCACTTCCTGTGTTACAAATTCGGAATCATGATTTTAACTGTAAAAAGCTATTTCAAATATTAATAGACACCTTCATAAAGTGCCGTTGTTGGCACGACTATAAAACCGTATAAGATTGTTTAGAAATAGCATCTCAAACCCGGCGTTTACCAAGTTAGGGATAATTAAGTTTTTCTAATGTTCCACGCTTGAATGCGGGAATCTTTATTGACCGTTACCTGCGTCTTTATCTACCGGAAATTGCTCGTTCAAGCCATTGTTCGGGAAAAAGACAAGAAAATTGCATTAGAAATGACAGATTTACTCTTTGATAGATGCTACTGGCTTTTATTGTCATCTTTACCTGAGATTTATTCATAATTACGGCATTGAGTCTTGTGTAGGATTGTTTATAGCCCGGAACCACTGCGTAAAACTATCACCAGACTTAAGTACATGTATATGTCTTAACGACTTCTTTTTTCAAAACAGTGGAGTACCTTGATGTTATTAACCTGTTAAACCACTTATAAGACAACCAAAGAACAAGTTCTAACTTATGCTTATAATATAATTTATGTTGATACTATATATATCAATTATTATCATTTAATAGGAAGCACGTGATAATCCGATATACATGCATACGCATATTGAACGCTCTAGCGTCCAATATAATTATCTTTTATTGGGCAGTCCAGTGCATATTGCATTTTCCATGTAACGTCAATGATAATTTGATAAAAACCGTTAACTACACGTATCCGAATGAATATTACTAGGAGCGTTGCAATCGTCTTAAAAAGTCAAACAAACTTCCTTCATACATACCCAATCGACGGATAAGAATAATGAATAATCGTTGAGGTGATTTATTCCTTTACCCATTACGGGAGATTCACGAAAACGGCCGAAGAATTGCGATTGATGTAATACTAGTATGCATTGATACTTTACAACCCTTTAAAATATAGTTTTTTGTTTGTTTTTTGTTTGTTTTTTTTTCGAAATGTTCGCCATTTTGTGTTTCTACGTCCTGAACTTTTCTTTTCAGCATCCATAAACATATGATTAATTCAAAGTGTCCGTGGGCTTCTTTTATGAATTGCTATCCATTTCCCCGTGTTTGGTAACTTAAAACTTTGTCATCATTAATTCAATATTTTCTGTGTATTTTAGTGCGAAAATCGTTGTGTTTCAAAGATTATACAATGTTTTATCTCAAGTACATTAATCATGCAAAACTTGAAACTGTAAATGAATTAATTGCAAACAATAGAAACCACATTTGTATCAATTGTGAAAAAAGTATCAGTATGCTTTATTATACTACTGGGCTTTGCAAGTAATTATTCATTGAAAATCAGCTTTTCAAGTTTTAGCTAATTGAACTTTCAATTGTTGGTCATATGTATTATTTATTTTTCCTGTTCAGTTGACGTTACTTGAATAAACCTCGGATACCGCACTGTGCCAAAGGTCCGTTTAATGCTTAACCCTTACCACTCTTTATGTTTTAAATTAATCCATTCATCTTTTCAATCAAGATAAATAATTCATAAGCGAAGTTTTTAAAATTTGTAGGGACTGAAAAGCGTA